CTGTAGATGTCATTATACATTGTTATAAGAATATTACATTTTTGTATTATGTGTTTTGTGTTCAGGGGGTGGACGGGGTGGTTTTAAAGGTGGAGCAAAAGTAACCATAGAGCCGCATAGACACGAAGGTAAGTCACTAACTGAAAGTGCCACAACTAGTATTATAATTTTACTGATTGGTGATACTTTAATTTGCTTTGCTGAAATATTTCTGGTGCACTCAGTCCACCTTTTTCTAAATTTTGAAGAAAGTGGTCAGAAACCAACAAAAATTTAGTGAAACATTAAGCAAGGGGTTACAATGTCATCTATGCATAAAGGATAATTATAATAATTGTTATTTTGCAATAATTAGTAGACTGTAGCTACTCACATGGTAAAAATTTTCACATACACTGTACATACATGTACATGTATTTCTTCAACATCTACCTGTATGGTAGATACCTTGATGGACTCCCTGTTTTGATTACATAACCTAGAAAAAGCAACCAGTAAACATTTACATCTGTGTACATAAAATTATGTTATCTCATTGCAATCCATACGTTGATAACAGATTGGTCCAGACTTTGCAAAACAAAGTGCTAAAATGGTCCACTCGCTATTTCAATTTTGCCCGTTTTTTCTCAAACACTCGACCAATAACATCTGTTTCCCTATTTTCATAATATTTTGGTTAATTTCAGTCAAGTCACCATTATTTAAGTCAAGGAAAATTACTTTTTGTAGGCGTATTCATTGCACGTGGAAAGGAAGATGCATTGGTGACAAAGAACATTGTTCCTGGAGAGTCTGTATATGGTGAAAAAAGAATATCAGTCGATGTAAGTTGTCCCATAATTTTGTTTTCCTGTGTTTGTTCAACAATGATTAAGTTTATGAGAGCTTTATTTTCCTCCAGTAAAAGTGTTACATGAACATGTAGGTTAAGTCTGCATATGAATCAAGTGGCCCATCAGGCCAGAGCTTATCCTGGTTTCTGTAGCATGAAGTGACTAAGAGTATTTCTACTCCTCCCACTTGTAGGCATGCTTGCCCATCGCAGGGTTACCCCTAGCAGTAAATTCGCCAGTACCCATTTATACACCTGGATGGAGAGAGGCACTGTGAGAGCAAAGTGTCTTGCAACACAGTGTCCCCGGCCGGGGCTCGAACCTGGACCGTTCAATCCAGAGAAAATTACGCACTCTTAAGACTCTAGCTCCCCTCCCCCTTCCCCCTTGCAGCTGAAGTTCAAATCTGGGCTGCTTCATATGAAGCTTTATGGTGATTTTCTTTTTTCTTGTCACCTTTCTATTTGACTTTGTATTGGTGTTTTAAGAAGAAATTAGTCATCATTCTCTAAAAAACACATCCATGTTGTTGTTGTTGTTTTTTTTTAAGGGTGTAGCAGAAGGTGACAAGATTGAATACAGAGTGTGGAATCCTTTTCGATCCAAGCTTGCTGCGGCAATTCTTGGAGGAATTGACAAGATTCACATGATGCCTGGTTCTAAAGTGTTATACCTTGGTGCTGCATCAGGCACAACAGTGTCTCATGTTTCTGATATTGTTGGACCAGTAAGTGCGATCAGGCTTTCTAAGGCACATCACAGGCTTGAGCCAAGCCTTTCAAATTCATTTTCTCTTCAGGGTGTCAAGGGCTGCTGTGGCCTTGCTGACCTGATGTGTTAAAGGGGTTTTTATTAAGGTTTTCAGCTTGAAGGCAATCAATTTTCACAGGCAGGAGAACCTTTCTGAACTGAACTTTATTGTTAGAAAAACTTTCCTCCAGGTGGTTAAACCAGGCAGGCAAAATCATCCTCACAGCTGTTCAATTTTTCTGGTGCACCTGGTCCGTAGCTTAATGAAACCTCTTATGCTATGTGGTGTACATCTTGTTTGCCCACTTATTTGATTTAATACATTATGTAACCACCATTACAATTTTCCGTTGTTTATCCGTTTCGTTTGCATGTGGCAATTACTAGTGATTTTTTGTGACACCATAACCAAATTAAAATGACTTTGAAAAGCAGAGAGTTTGTTTTTTACACTCCTTTGTGTAGCTTTACTTGTTCAAATATTTTAAATCGATTACCTTTTTTGTTGTATTTTTTCTTACACTATAGGATGGTCTTGTGTATGCAGTTGAATTTTCACACAGATCTGGACGTGATCTCATTAATGTAGCTAAAAAAAGAACTAATGTTATCCCAATCATTGAAGATGCCAGGCATCCTCACAAATATAGAATGCTTGTTGGTGAGTCTTGTTCTTAAGACTTCTGCTTTAATCGACTGTGTATTCAAATCATTTGCCTTGAGTACATGTAGTATTAATTAATGTGCAATAAGATACATGTACAAACCTGTGGTGGTTTCATCAGTGCTGCATAAGCTTGGGATGTGAAGGTACAGTGAAAGTTACCTTTATTCATGACCCCTGCAGATAATTATATGCTAGTTATGTAATGCCTTTGAGTGGTATACCATGAAATTTCCTACTTGTTGCTTGTATTTTCTTGGTATACACAACAACAACAACAATGCTTTTAATTTACTTTAGACACTTACTACACATTTGCAAAGAAAATTACAATAACTTAGGGAAAAGATAGGTGCTTTAAGTCGAGCCAGGGGGATAAATGAAGCTTGCGGTTTCCGAGTTATCCCCCTGCCTTTTACATGCAGAACAAAATAAGACCAAGGGAATGAAAGAGACAAGTAAATTAAGTGCAAACACAGGGAGACAGACCAAACTATATGAGCAGTGGATATTTGAAGGAATTGAATGTTCAAAATGTTAGTTACTTCATGCTATTTTCAAATGCCATAGAAAATGTCTTGCACTAGACTCTATCAGTGTCTATTTGCTCAGACAGTGCAGTTGTTAGTATTTAGGGATTAGGTTATCCT